TCCCGCACCGCCGCTGCGCAGCCTGGAGCGCGAGCGACTCCGCCACCGTGACTCGAGCCAGCAGCCCAAAGCCCGCCGGGGATCTGGTTACGGCGGAGGCCGGAGGGGCAGGCGTGGAGACGCCAACAGGGAGGGAGGCGACAGGGACACAAACAGGTATCCTTGCCCAGGTATGAGGCGGCGCGCGTGAGCGTCTGGAGGGAGGACTCCCAGGCCCGGTTCCAGCATCCCCGGGAGAACGCCGAGTCCCGGTCCGCCGCCTACTCTTCCACTCTGGATGGCCACCGGCCAAATGGAAAGCTACGCGCAGGTGTGGGATCCCGAAACGCCACACCTGGGCTCAGGTCCCACTAGTTAGTACCTGTGTGGCCTCCCCATTTAGTAACCTCTCTGCACAAGAGCCTCAATTTCTTCATCTGGAAAATGGGGTCGACCATATAGTACTTCTATCACAGGGTTGTAAGGTTGACTGGTGCAGTTTGGGTACCTAGAAAGGACTTAAAAGAGTGGTTGGCACAAAACCAACGGCGTTTGTTAAAAAAAAAAAATGCCCCAAGCCGAGCGCGGTGGTACAAGCTTGTAATCTCGGATCTCGGGAGGCTGAGACTGGAGGATCCCGAGTTCAAAGCCAATTCTCAGCAATGGTGAGGCGCTAAGCAACGCAGTGAGACCCTATCTCTAAATAAAATACAAAATAGGGCTGGGGATGTGGCTCAGTGGTCGAGTGCCCCCGAGTTCAATCCCTGGTAATTACCCCCCCCCCCAAAAAAGTCTCAAAGTCTGAGGTGGGTAGGCAAAGTCAACCAGGTGGTTTTAGAACATGTAAGAAGCTGACAATTGTGATTATTTACTTTGTGTCAGGTGCTGTGCTGTGTCTTCTAAAACAAAAATGAATGTCATTTGTGTGCGCCTGTCTTGTTTCATTTACTCTCCATAATACCATGAAATAGGGTCTGGTAGCTTTCTAATTACACAGATGAGAAGAAAGTGAGGCCCAGAGAGGTTAAGCCACTTCTCTGAAGTCACATAGCTGGAGCTGAGATACGAATTCTGATGGTCTGACCCCAGGCATCTGCTCTGCTGTTAATCTCATTTACTCTTCAGGACAGTCCTGAAGGGTAGGTATTTCTTGCAGCTTAGAGATGAGGTAATTGAGATTCAGAGAGCTGAGGTGCCTTAACCATTCTTGCCCTTCCAAGAACCCACCCAATTCTGGGTCCCTGAAACTTGTGCCCCTGAAAGCTATAGACCCCCACGGAGCTGTCCAGAGTGCTGAACGACCTCAGTTCAAAGCTGTGTGTGTAGGGGGGTGGGTGGGGGCGCATTGTGAGCTGGCTTTGGCATCTCAGGCACACAGTTCAGTTCCACCTCCCTCTGCTTCTGTGCCCTTTCTAGCCTCGGTACCGGTCAGCTGATCACTTGATGACCAAGTCCCTTTTGACTGGTCCTTGGCCACTGTTCAGACCCACCTTCTGCGCTAATTCAAAGTCCATGTATTTCTCTGCTCCTCAGACACCATCCAGGATCCCAAGGTGACAGTGATCTTTGAAGTTCTAGACCGGTCAATGACTGGCCATCAGGGATGCCAGTCACCATGACAGACCTTTGACACTCACTGTCCCATCGCCTGTCTTCAGAGATGAAATGAGATCCATTTTACAGTTCGTCTCATGGAATCTCTTCAATGGCTCCTGGATCACTCTACGGTGATGGCCCTTACAGAGATGGGGAGCATCCAGACCACAGAACTCGTCTGTAGTGGATTTGAATCCAGATAGACGGAACACAGCTGAGGGTGAGGGATGTGGAGCAGGAGGAGAGGGCGGGGCCGGGTCCCCCCAGGGGAGACCTAGGCAGGTCTGACTTACCTGAGCCGTTTCGTCTCTGCTTCTCATTTTCTCTGTGAAATCTGGCTTGCGGAGAGTATCCCTTCTGTGAATGGAAAGAAAGCAGGTCGAGTGAGGACCCTCTGTTCCCCGGCAGGAGAGGGGCGATGGGGTATTCAGAAAGTCCATGAAGCTTTTGGTCACAGAAAGGACTGGCCAGAGTCAAAAGTCCTCTCCAGTGAAGCAAATCACGATAGTCTTTGGAATGTATGCCTGCGTTGATAAGACTCATGTTTTTTTTTAAATACTTTAGTTTTTAGAACTGTTTTACATTTAAAGAAAAATTAAGGGCTGGGGATATAGCTCAGTGGTAGAGCACTGGATTAGCATGTGTGAGGCACTGGGTTCGAGTCTCAGCACCACATCCAAATAAATAAAATGAAGGTCCATCAATAACTAAAAAAATATTTTTTAAAAAAGTTTTTTTTTTTGAAAAAAACTTTTTAAGGTTCCTTATAATCCACACTCAATTCCCTTATTATGAAAACTTTTTTAAAAAAATTTAATACATTTATTTATTTATTTATTTATTATGTGGTGCTGAGGATTGAACCCAGTGCCTCACATATGCCAGGCAAGCCCTCCACCTCTGAGCCACAACCCCAGCCCCTTATTAACATCTTATATATATGGAGATGTACATATCAATAAACCAACATTCAATCAATGAACCGATAGTAATACATTTTCACTAAATAAAGTTAGTTAATACTTTATTCAGATTTCCTTAGTTTCTATTTTTTTTTAAATTTTATTTATTTATTTAAGTCCTGGGGATTGAACCCAGGGGTACATTACCACTGAGCTACATCCCCAACCCTTTTTATTTTTAAATTTTGACACCAAGTTTAACTTGCTGAGTCTGGCCTCAAACTTGCAATCCTCCTGCCTCAGCCTCCCAAGTCTTTTGGGATGGCAGGTGGGTGCGCCTCCGTGCCTGGCAAGATTTCCTTAGTTTTTTTTTTAACCCATGTCTTGTTTCTGTTCCAGAATCTCATCCAGGCTACAGCATCACACAGAGTCGTCATGTCCCTCGAGGCTGCGACAGTTTCTCCTATTTCTGTTTTTCATGACCTTTACAGTTTTGAAGGCCATGGAGACCCGTGCTCTTTTATGGTGAGCTCACGCCCTGGGGTGAGTGGGCAGTTCTGGAGTAAGCCAGGGTCGGAACCAAGGGAGGCTCCTGCCCAGGGACTGCCCTGGCATTATCCCAGAGGACAGAAGGGCCTGGGGTCCTGACTTTCCCCTGGGGGACTTCCATTTGGAGCTCTGCCACCGAGGAGGAAGAGAAGAAGAGAGTGTACGGGGACGGGCCAAGCCTCTTTTGTCTTTTTTTTTAAGAAAAGCTTTAAGGGGACAGGTAACCTTATCTGTGGAAGAAAATTCAGGACATAGATAAAGGACCTACTTGGGAGGGTTTGGAGGAGTCCAGGCGCCTTCTCACATCTCCCTACTCAGAGCTGGGAAGCAGGGCTGCACCGGAGGACAACATTACATCACAAGGCCAGAATTTCATAAGGAGCAGCTCTCAGACCTGGAGTTCAAACAAATGTCCCTGGCATGCCTGCCACCCTCCTTAGCATGAAAGACTTGTTGAAAATGAGACTAAGCTGGGCATGGTGGCACCTGCCTACTATCCCAGCCATACAGGAGGCTGAGGCAGGAGGATCCCAAGTTCGAGGCTAGCCTCAGCAACTTAGTGAGGCCCTAAGCAACTCAGTGAGACCCTGACTTTAAATTAAAAAGTTAAAAACGGGCTGGGGATGTGGCTTAGAGATCAGCCTGTGTCCAGTGAAACCTCAGTGACTATGGCAGAAGCCTCTGCCCTTTCAATGACTGGGGTTTAGCGAGCGAGAAAATTCTCTATTCACACACAACCACTTGTGAACGGCAGGCTGGTTGGAAAGCCATCTGGATCTTGGCTGTCAAGATCTGGATACTTTACTGGTATCCGATAGTCTTTTCAAGGACCACACTGATAAATACAGCCAATTCTCGTTTGTGCACACCATTTAGGACTGGCAGATAGGAGCTGAGTTATCATTTGCTTAATGAAAGTTCCTGTACACAATTTTCAGAGGAAAAACTCTTGTATATAATGCAGAATATCCAAATATGGCTGACGGAAGCCAAAGGTATTTCTTCTGTTGTTCCTGATTGATTGGTTGAGAAAAATCTCTTGGGGTTGGTCACTGGGTGACTTCAATGATCCCATTCCCAAAGATTCTCTCCTTTTTCACCTGGTCCCATGGCTTCCCCTAGAGGCTGAATCTTGGTGTGTGTGTGTGTGTGTGTGTGTGTGTGTGTGTGTGTGTGTGTTACTGGGGATTGAACCCAGGGTTGTGCTTAACCACTAAGCCACATCCCCAGCCCTTTTAATTTTTTGTTTTGAGACAGGGTCTCCCTAAGTCGCTTAGGGCCTCGCTTAGTTGCTGTGGCTGGCTTTGAATTTGTGATCCTCCTGCCTCAGCCTCCAAGCTGCTGGGGTCACAGGCCTGCACGACTGCTCCCAGCCCGTGTTTGTTTTTAAACATTTTAAAAGTTGAGGTATAGCATGCATCCATAAAACTCATAAATCTTTTTCTTTGGCACTTGGGATTGAATTGATAAGGTCTTGCAAAATTGCTGAGGTTGGCCTCAAACTTTTGATCAGCCTTGGGAGTTTTGGGATTACAGGTATGTGCCCCTGCGCCCAGACAAGCACACTAATCCTAAATACACGGCTCAATGAACTTTTCTGCATGCATTCCACCCATGTAACTTTTTCCAAGATCTAGATTTGAAACAGTCCCTGTTTCCTGTGCTCCTTCCCCAGTCAATACGCGCATCCTCACAGAGTAACTATCCCGGCCTGTGGCACCAGACAATCATTTCTCTTGTTCTAGAACTTCATATAAGTTGTTCGTACTCTTTTGGGTTTAGTTTTTCTCAGTCAGCAGTGTGTTTGAGATTCCTCAGTGTGGTTGTCTGTCTCAGTAATTCATTCCTTTTAACACTGAATAATTCCCTGGTTTGTGGCTCTGTTACAGTTTGGTGATATCTTGTATGAATGGAGATCTCAGTGCTTTGCAGTTTGGGGCTATTGCTAATAAAGTTGCTATAGACCTCCTTCTGTGGTTAGGCACTGTGGTGCACACCTGTAATCCCAGTGGCTGGTTAAGCTGAGGCCGGAGGATCAAGAGTTCAAAGCCAGCCTCAGCAACTCATGGAGACCCTGTCTCTAAATAAAATATAAAAGGGCTGAGGATGTGGCTCAGTGGTTAAGTGCCCCTGGGTTCAATCCCTGTTTAAAAAGAAAAAGAAAAAGAGAAAGAAATCCTGAGAGTGTTTGGATAAGCGTGGCAGCTCATTTCTGTTGGGCAGACGCTTGGCAGGGGCATTGCCGGTTTGTAACGGAGCTGAATGTTCAGCTACAGAAGATTGGCCAACAGTGATTGTATCAATTTGTAGGTTGCACTTCTGACATCTTTACCACATAGGTTTCTGTTTCTTTTGACACATTGAGGTCACTTCCATGCACAAGGCTTTAGACCGTGGAGGGCAGAGAAGGAGACGTTAGTGAGATTGCATCTTAGATAAACAGATGGGCCTACATTTTGAACTTGGAAGAAATGAGGGTCAAAGGTTGGGGTATTTGCCGTTGAAACCTGGAACAAATCAGAGGGAGCTGTTTCTCCTGGTCTATTTGTTGACCACCCCCCTGCCTCCTGAGAATTCAAATATCACGGGAACAGGGACTGTGCCTCTCCAGGGACCTGTCTTCAGTGGCTTGCCCAGTTCTTGGTAGCTAAGTGCACAGTGAATAAAGATTAACTTTAAAAAATGTAGCACATACCCATGCCAGGCTCTGCGGTAAGACTCTACTGCTGTGGTCTCATTTAAGACTCATAATGGTCCTTTGAGATTCTGGAAAAGTGAGGTTCCGGTTTTACAGATAAGGAAGCTGAGGTACTGGACAGGTTGGGGTGCATGCTGGCAAGTGACAGTCTGTGAACTCAAGGGGACTGTGTGTGTGTGTGTGTGTGTGTGTGTGTATAATAGGAAGAGCCACCAACCCATTTTATAGAGGGTTAGTGGCTCTTCCATTTTACAGAGGAGGAAACCAAGGTTAAGAGAGGTTAAGGAATGCTTCTTTTTGGGATCTGCTGAGCAGCCTTCCTACCAAGCTATTTCTCTTCGGGGGGAACTGGGGATTGAACCCAGGGATGCTCTACCCCTGAGCCACATCCCCAGCCCATATTTTATATTTTATTTAGAGACAGGGTCTCACTGAGTTGCTTAGGGCCTTGCTGAGTTGCAGAGGCTGGCTTTGAACTCGTGATCCTCCTCCCTCAGCCTCCCGAGCTGCTGGGACGACAGGCGTGCACCCAAGTTATTTCTTAAAGTTCCAATATTTTTAAATGCAGATCCCTGGTTGCTCCCCACCCCAAACCTCCCACTCTCCTGTGCCCACAGTAACTGGGCATCACTAGGCCCAACGCCAGCCTCTGCCTTAGCACCTCACTTTCACAAAGCCACCCTGTCGGGTGAGATGTCACCTGCCACCTCTCTCTGCGCCGTCCCCAGGGATGGAGGGCGTCAGACCCAGCGATCCTTCCCCAGCATGCTGGGCCCTGTTGGAGCGGGCGCCAGGCTCTGGGAGGTGTTCCTTTCCAGGGGTCTGCTGACATCACACTGGTGTTGAGTTCTCCGCTGGGAAGGGAACGAGGACACTGTCTTCCATCAATGGAAGCCTTCACCATTCTGGTCTCCAGGGCCTTCTCACTGCTCCATCCATTCAGCCTCCAGGTCTCAGAGGCCCAGACAAGTGCCCTCCTGGAACCTGAGCCAAGGTGCTGGATGAGGAGCCCCCGCCCAACCAGGAGGCTGAGGGCCAGTCTTCCTCTCCACACCTGGGCTTGGTGGGCGGGCTGTTTCATTCCCCCGAAAATCTAGCAAAATATTTCACACAGGTAACCTATAAATCCATTGCTGGTTTAAACAACTGCAACGATCCAGTTGCATAGGACATTTTAAAAGTAACATTCCTCCTTATTGTCCCAGCTGAGCCCGAATCTCACCCTGTTCCCAGGGTCATCACTGGTTTTGAGGCTGCATTTGTATTTTGCAAATTGGAGAGGCTGGAGATTACACACACACACACACACACACACACACACACACACACACACCCATGCAGTCCCCCTGAGTTCACCCACAGAGCTGCCACTTGTCAGCAGCTTGCTTTTTCAATGTTACAATACATCCTGACGGAATTTCTATGCCAGTTCATGTAAATACACCTCACTCTCTTGATCTGCTGCAGTATGTACCCGACAGTTTAAATTTTAAAAATCCCCTTTAGTTGGACACTTAGGCTATTCCATTTTTCACAACTACAAATGATTTCACTCCAAACATCCTCTCTGCCCACATGTGCAAACTTTTCTCTGGAGTAGATGCTGAAGAGCAAGTGGCAGACCAAGAAGCCTGTTTTAAGTTATAGCAGATGTTGCCAAAGTACCTTCCAGAATGGTTTATTGCCCTTTACACACCCGGGAGTGTCTGACATTACCGGATTTTTAATTTTTTTTTGCACCACTAACATTGGGTACTATGAATCTAAGTTTGTTTACTGACAACTAATTGGTGGTATTAAAAGTCGGGGTAGTGGTTCCCCTTGGGGGGTGATAGGGGATGGGAAGGGGCCTTGGGGGAGGCTTCAGTTGGAGCCTGTTGATGTTCTTTTTCTTGCTCCAAGTGGTGGCTACACAGGTATTATCAGTTTCTCAAAATAAATTAAGTGGTATGCTCATGAGAGGTGCCCTTTTATATTCAAATGTTAGTCTTCCATAAAAAGTTCCAAGTTCTCCCCTCCCCCACAATCCAACAGGTGACAAAACAGCCCCCAGGAGCATTTTATTTTGGAGGCTGAGCCTTCTTTTGTCAATACACTCGCCTTCTGGAATCCTTCTGGGATGTCTTCCTTGTAGGTCTCGTGGAGTCCTTCGCCTGAGAGAGGAAGGTCCTTCCAGAAAGGGGGACTTTCCAGTTACTGGGCGTCAGCTCTGTTTCCAACAAAATAGCCTCCCCGTGTAGTTATCACTCACCCCGTTTTACAGACACAGAGACTGGGG